ACTAAGTAATAATTTTAAATTGGTGAGTTTTTATCCTAAAGCCTACTTCACCACCCCGGTAGGTTTTATAAGAGCTAAGCTCCTGTTTTACAATTGGTATCAGAGCAGGCACTACATTTTAATTAGTGTAGATCCTACTCTAAATCTTCTCTATGGATAGAGATAGAGCTTCTAGCTCTGTAGCTCATCCACCATTTTTTAATGGTGAATACTACTCTGCTTGGAAACACAAGATGCGTGCGTTCCTACTTGCCTTAGAGTCTAAAGCTTGGAAAATGACAGTTGATGGTTGGAATCCTCCAACTGCAGTTAATCCTTTTGGAACACTTGAACCAAAAGAGGAGGATGATTGGACTGTTGAAGAACAGTCCCTTGCTAACTCTAATAGAAAAGCCTTGAATGCTTTGTTTGTTGCTGTTAGTTCCGAACAGTTTGCCTATATTGAAAACTGTGAAACATCCAAAGAAGCCTGGGATATTCTTAGGCTTACTCATGAAGGAAATTCAAAAGTAAAAGAAGCTAGGCTAGACATGGTAAGTGCTGAGTTTGAAAATCTTAGAATGCAAGACTCAGAAACCATTCAAGAATTTTATGCTAGGTTCAGTTCTCTAGCTAACTCCTCACATAATCTAGGTGAACAGATTCCAGAAATAAAATTGGTAAAAAAGTTCCTTAGATCCTTGCCTCCTAGATTTGATGCCAAGAGAACCGCGTTCTCTGAAGTTAGAGATTTCAAAACTGTGAAACTTCATGAAATTGTAGGGTCTTTTAGAACCTATGAAATGGAAATGAACTTAAATACTCCCAGGAAAGGCAAGACTATTGCCTTGAATTCTGTCAATGAGGAAGAAGGTTGTTCCTCACTAGAAAAGCCTGTGACTGATGAAGACATGGCTCTCTTCACTAGGCAATTCAGGAAAATTCTTAAGTTTAGAAAGCCAGAAGGAAACAGAAATAATTTTCAATCAAATACTGGCTTTAAAAATGAAAAGAATACTCAACAAACAGAACCTAGGGAAAAGAGAAATAGTAATTCCATTAGATGCTATGAGTGTGGTGGAAATGGTCACATTGCTCCTGAATGTGCAAACACCTTGAAAAGGAAAAATCAATCAAAAGAAAAGGCACTAAAAACCACTTGGAGTGATAGTGAGGATGAGTCAACAATTGACTCTGAAAATGATGAAAACATTGTTGCTTTCACAGCAAAATCCACTGATCATATTGAAATGGAAAATGAAGTTGAGGAAATTGAAACTGAGGAAGAACTAATTGAAAAATATGAGAAACTTGTCGATGTGTCCTACAAAATAAAAAAGCAAAGTGTTTTTCTCTCTGATAAGGTTGTCATGCTTAAAAAGGAAAACATCAATATGTCAAAACATGTGAGTCAACTAAAGAAAGAAAATGAGGAATTGAAATTTGAATTGGATTTGATAAAGAAAAGAGAAATTGATTTCACAATAGGTGCTGAAAAGGTTGACAAAATGTTAAACTCAGGAAAAACTTATGGAGATAAGACTGGACTTGGTTTCACTTCTGAAACAAACAAAAATTCTGGTGTTAACATAAAGTTTGTGAAAGCTAGGGAATCTGTAGACAACGTGGATAAGAAAAATATTGGTCTGGATCATTCCAGATTAATAAACACTGAAAAGTCGTATCAATCCACTGTTGAAACTGTTAGAAATACTGCAAATACCAACAAATTTATTCCTGTTTGTCACTTCTGCAATGAAAAGGGGCATATACGACCATATTGTTTCAAACTAAAAGAAAAGATCATTTCCACAAATCTGCAAAGACAAGTGGAAAAATTATCAAGAGAAGTTGAAATAATCCTAGGTTTGCTGAAACCTAAAATTGAGCCTCCAAAAAGGGGTTGGTTAAAGAAAGAAAATGTATCATGTCTTGTTGTTTTGACTGCCTTGTCTGTAAGAAATTCAAATGCTTGGTACTTTGATAGTGGTTGCTCTAAGCACATGACTGGAGACAAAAATTTGTTTTTAGATCTCTCTCTCATGTCTGAGCTTGGCAGTGTTACTTTTGGTGATGGTGGAAAATCAAGAATCCTTGGTAAGGGAACCATTTCTGCTCCAGGGATTGACAAGTTAGAAAATGTTATGTATGTTGAAAACCTTAAATCAAATTTGGTTAGCATAAGTCAGCTTTGTGATCAAGACACGTACAATGTTAGTTTCACAAAGGATAGATGCAATGTCTTAAACAAAGATGGAAAAATTGTCTTGAGTGGTTTAAGGTCAAGTGATAACTGCTACTGTGTGGTTTCTAAATCACTTTCCCCTCGTGTGGCTTGCAACCTTGCAACTGACAACTCCTTGGTGCTATGGCATCAAAGACTGGGTCATGTAAATCTCAAAGACCTTGAGAATTTATCCAAGAAAGAAATTGTAAGAGGCATTCCCAAGTTTGGAAATACCACAAAATTTGTGTGCAGTGGTTGCCAACTAGGAAAACAAACCAGAACTGGTCATGGGACTGTGAATTCCATGACCACCACCAGACCTCTTGAACTTATTCATATGGACTTAATTGGACCGATTCAAACCATCAGCCTTGGAGGGAAAAAGTACATTTTGGTTGTTGTTGATGATTACTCTAGATTTACTTGGGTTGCCTTTCTCAAAGACAAAGGAGAAACTTTCATACATTTCAAGTCCATTGTCAACAAAATTCAGAATGAGAAAGGGAATACAGTAAACTCTCTGTCTAGAATGAGGAGTGATCATGGATCTGAGTTCGATAACTCATCTTTCATTGAATACTGTGATGAGTTAGGAATTAGACATGAGTTCTCTTCTCCTATCACACCCCAACAAAATGGTGTGGTTGAAAGAAAGAATAGAGTTTTGATTGAAATGGCTAGAGTAATGCTCTCTAGCAAAAGTCTGCCCAAGTTCTTTTGGGCAGAAGCAGTGAACACCTCCTGTTATGTGGTGAATAGAGTTTACTTAAGGCCTAACTCTAACAAAACTCCATATGAGTTATGGAAAGCTAAGAAACCCAACCTGAAATACTTTAGAGTATTTGGCAGTTTGTGCTACATTTTAAGGGATAGGGAACACTTAGCTAAATTTGACTCCAAGAGTGATGAAGGAATTTTCCTAGGTTATTCACTAAATAGCAGAGCTTTTCGAGTCTTCAACAAAAGAACCAAAACTATGATGGAATCCAGTAATGTTGTCATTGATGACTCTCTGGATAAATCTGATAAACAGTGTGTTGATCTCGATATTTTTAATGAAGAAAAAGGTACCCCTGAGTCAATTGTCACTGAACAAATACCAAGAAAAGATGAGGATCCTTTCTCATCTGTGTATGTTCATACAGAACCTGTGGAACCTAGTCCTGCTCCTTGGGTTCAAAGAAATCATCCCAATAATGTTATCTTAGGTGACCCATCTGTCGGAGTTAAAACAAGAAGCCAACTTCTTGAGGAAATCAATTTTCTGTGTTTCATGTCTCAAATTGAACCAAAGAACATCAAAGATGCTCTATGTCATGATGATTGGATTTTAGCTATGCAAGAAGAGCTTAATCAGTTCAAGAGACATGATGTTTGGGATTTAGTTGAGAGACCTAGAGGAGTGAATGTTATTGGAACAAAATGGATTTTCAAAAAT